TTTTCAACATTGATAATAGTGCGAACATCTTCTTGAGCACCAAATCAACATATTAGAATGATTTTGAAGACTGAAGTATTGAAAATTGAGCTTTACGATGACAAGAGTAAATTACACTTTAAAATATATTGAAATAGAAATCTGTAATAATTATAATAATATTTCACAATATTACTGTTTTTACTATATTTCTTTACTGTATTTTTGCCATCACAGGAATACATTACATTTTAAAATATTGTACTGTATTATGAGATACGTCTATGCTTGTTCTTCTAAGCACATATAACAACTATCTGTACATTTACTATTCACGTTCATAGTAATGTGTTTATATTATTTAGTCAAAATGATATTCTTTTCTAATTTTGTGTTTAGTTGTATTACTGTGAGTCATGTAAGCCAAATTGTGTGTGTGTGTGTGTGTGTGTGTGTGTGTGAGTATACTTGGCCAGTAAAACTCTTTCAAATTTCTGAAAACTGAACAGTTTAAATAATAAATAAAAAAAAATAGTAAAACTGAAACAATTGAAATTATTCTACAATAATTATTCCACCGTAGTACATTTTAATCCAGTTTTGTGTAAAACAAACACATAAATGAATAAATAAATAAACAATGTCCTAAACTTTTGCACATCATTTTCAAATTTTCTGGAAATGAAGGTCAGAATAAAGACATTGCATTGGGTTGTATACTGCTCATGGAAAATGTATTGTAGTTCATCTCAGTTGGATCAAGGTTAACTGGTTTGTTTTGACCCTAGTAGCCTCTGCTGATTTATACCATAACTACACACTCTGGTATTATGCTGTAGGTATTATAGTCATCTGGGTAGTTTATATACAGTATATGTATTATCAAAGCAATAGTAGCAGTGTGCCAGCAATAGCAAACTGCACGACAGTCTATGAAAAATCCTTCGCTTTTGCTGTAATACGGGGAAAAAAATGGTTATTGAAGCCATCAATGAATTGCTCTTGGCGTGTCCAGGTAAATGCCCCACTTATTACCAAGAAGACAGACCCGACGCCTTGAGACTATCTTAGTTCTGGTGTATGGCTGCAGAAGTGATTTGCAGAACGGTTCGTGCTAAAATGAATGAGTCTTCTAATCAAGCTCAGAGCGAATTAGACCTTGACAATACACCAGAGATAATGAGCGACACATGACTCAGAAAACCATCTATGCAGCGACACCTGCCCAGTGGTGCAAATCCACCAAAATAGACCTTAATGAAATGAGAATGTGTTCTGCCGCCATTACAGCACATACCTCTAGTGTGTCAAGGCTACTTATGAAGCGAAGGCTCTGAGATTTTCGGAGGTTAGGTGCATTAAGCATTAGAGCAAATGATGGAAAATATGTGGTTTTGATTAGCTGCTTCTTCTGATATATTGATATTGATGTTTACTGTCATAATGAAAGCTGCAAAGAATAAATGGTGGATGATTTGCTTGCTTCTTGCATGGGACATCGTCATAGCACTGGCCAGGGAGTCAGCCGTTTCGAAGGTGTCCCGTTGTCAAAATCACTCGAGTGCACCGAAACGTTCAATCCCTTGAAAATACCCAGACTGCATCGGCTGCTCATTATATTCACTAACCAGAAATGTCTTCGTAAGTCTTTCAAGCGTAATTATATGAAGACAAAACCTTATTTTTTTCTGTTTTTAAAAGAGATTTTGTTTGTAATTATCTATCTCTAATATGAAGGGAACAATCCTGCAAGCTTTTTTTTTTGTAAAGTATTATACAGGATTCAGGCTTATATAGATTCAGAGTAGTTAGAAAAAGATTAAAAAGACCTCTCTTTATTTTTTATTTATTCATTCATTAATGTATTTTCTGCCATTTTTTTTCAACTGAGATACTAATATTTATATTGTAAGCATGTGGTTACTTTCTTTATTGCTGTGTATGTATTTAATGTCTGAATGCAATTACTTATATTCAGATGTTTTTTTGGAAAGAAATCTCTTTATGCGTGCAAAGCCTGCATTTATTTGTTCAAATATAAGTAAGTAACAGTAATATTGTGAAATATTATTACAATTTACAGTTGTTTTCTATTTTAATATATCTGACACGTGATGACAAGCTGAATTTTGTCACGTCACGTGATCCTTCAAAAATCATTCTAATATGCTGCTCAAGAAACATTTCTTATTATTATCAAAGTCAACTTTTGGATGGATAAAAATGAAACAGTTCCATTCAGGTAAATGAAAATAGAATTGTATTGAAATAGAATTTTTTGAACAATATAAAATTCATCATTTTTGATCAATTTATTGCATCCATGCTGAATAAAAGTGTAACACTTTTGAGCAAGGGTGCAATAAATTGATCCTGACCCCAAACTTTTGAATGGTATAGTGTATGTATATTATCTGCTTTTTTATTTTTTTATTTTTAAGAAAATTTAGATCATGGAAATTAAGTATCAAATACTTTTGAAAAAAAAATCATTTGAATAAATAGTAAATAAACATTTTCTAACAAAAAGTGCAAAGTAACAAGTAGAAAAAAAGAAAAACATTAATTTTTAAGTAAATATAATCGGCGATATATTGCGTCACCAAAAATTATTGAGGTCATATACATATATTGCGCGATAAGTCGATATATTGATTATTGCGACAGGCCTAGTTTTAATGCACAATGTCATAATCATGTCATCAGTGTATAAGTATTGAGCAGATGAAAGCCTTTGTTAATTCTCTGAATATGTGTTATACTATACTGTTATACTAATTCTCATGACAGAGAATTTTGGAAATGACATGCACATACAATTTAGTGGCTTTTTAAAGATTTTTTATTTTTTATTTCATGTCTTGAAAAATATCTAATTATAGGATGACTATTGAGGCAGTGAATCCCACAGCATAATTAATCACACACACCACTGCAAGCCAATTAGCTCTTTCCGTTGCCCCGCCCCCTCTCTTCTCGTCTACTGAATAGCATTTCAGTACTGGAAGAGGCTGTCACTGCTGACGACTGCGCGGTTATTGTTTAACTGCATTGAACTGACAGATGTGCCAGCAGACTCTCGCTCCCTACCTTATAAAGTAATAACATGGCTAACTGACCTCAACAGGAAGCCAGCAGTGATATGCGGTTGACATTCGACAGCGCTGTGGGTTGAAAAAGCCAGTGAAAATGACTCTCAGGCAGTAGTCCAGTACAAACGACGGAAACAGAGGAATGTGCACTCTGGAAAGCTAATGTATTCTTTTAGCGTGATTCCTAGACATTTAATACCTCTTTGTTTGGTGTGATTGTGTTTCTCTGTGTGGAGATGGTAAGAAAAGAGGCTGGCTGAGCGAAGGGGTTGTACTATGCCGTTCGACAATGATGAATGTGTTTAGGGCAGGAGTACCTGCATGAGAGAAGCAGAGGTTCACATGATGAAACTCTGCATTGTAATTTGCCATGGTGTGCCATAATAAATAAAAGCTCTTGGATTCCCCCACCACCTCTCCGTCTTTAATCTCTCCACCTCCCTTTCTCACACCTTAAGTCTTCGTGCAATTACACTGTGAAAAATTGTCTCCGAATCTATACAGATCTTCGGATCTTTAATTGGAGCATACACCACGACATCTGTCGTATACTGAAACCAATGTGGTTTTTACAGCTACTCATCTCTTGATAACACTGCCAACTGTGATCCTGTAATGGTGAAAACAAAACAGTCCAGTTTAAAAAACCTTAGTGTAGTCTGTTAAAGCGTAGTTATCAGTGGCATGTTCAAATACATTGATGTTCAAACGTTTGGGGTCTGTTTTTGAAAGAAGTCTCTTATGCTCACCAAGGCTACATTTATTTGATCAATAATAAAGGAAAACAAGTAATATTGTGAAATATTATTACAGTTTCAAGTAACTGTTTTCCATGTTAATGTATTCAAATTTTTTATTTATTCCTACGATGGCAAAGCTGAATTTTCAGCATCATTACTCCAGTCTTTAGTGTCACATGATCCTTCAGAAATTATTCTAATATGCTGATTTGCTGCTCAAGAAACATTTATTGTTATTATTATTATTAGCAATGTTGAAAACAGTTGTGCTGCTTAATATTTTTTGTGGAAACCGTGATACTTTTTTTCAGGATTCACTGAGAACATTCAAAAGATCAGCGTTTATTTGGAAGATAAATCTTTTGTATCATAATAAATGTCTTTACTGTCACTTTCGAACAATTTAATGTGTCCTTGTTGATTAAAAAATCAAACCGACCCCAAACTGTTTGTTACATTTCCATTTCTTATTAACACTGGTGCTGGATTGAAGGCACACCACTTTGAGCAAGGAACCAAATCTTTTTATATCTGGCATAATTAATCAGATTTTGCCAAATAAATGTCTCAGATTTCCACTGTGCTCAGTAATAATTTTTTGTTGATGAATTTCAATCCCCAACTCTTGTCTTGTCTTTATTTTCTCAAAATAAATAGTTCCTGCTTCTTTAAGATGATTCATTTATGTTGTTGTATTCCTCATTTTTAAAATCACTTTTCATAAAGGTGTGTGCTTAAAGAAGAAATGTGAATGTAAAGCAGCATTCAAAGAACACAAGCTATTGGTTGGATCCTGGAATCAGTAAAAATTGCAGACAGTTCAAAGTCTTTTATGTGAATTATTCACCAAGTGGAGAAACGACAATAGTGTTTGATCTTTCTCTCCAGAGTCTGAGGTGGGAGTTGTTGTGCAGTTTGCCATGAGAAATATCACACAAGAAATCATCAGAAGCGATGCAAATGCAATGACAGTTTCCCTCCATTTGAAGGGATCATAAGGCTCTCTCAGTGGGAGTTGCCCCCCCCACTTCCACGAGTATTTTCATATCATGATACGCATGTATATATATATATGTCTTGTTGTGACACTGTATTTCATGTGCTCGGTTTATTTGATGATGGTTACTGAGTGGATTTTAGCCTGTAACTAATCCATCTATTTCCTGTTTGTTTCACAATTTTTGTGCAGGGTCTTCTCGAGGAATGTCAGTACCTCTTTCAACCTCAGCTCATTGTTCAGAGGCTCATTGGGATTTCAGTGCTGTATCCTGGTTACTTCATTGACCAGATGATTCCTCTTCACAATAGATCTGTACTCTACAAGTGAGTGACTGTTTTTAAGGTGAATCATATCCAAGCAGACTTAAACACACACACACACACACACACACACACACACACACAGACAGGGGAGGACTGGTACAAAATTTCAGGCTGGGAAATCTCACACTCATCCAGGCCGTCCCATACACCCACAACAAATTCTGAAACAAGGACAACCCTATTCTAAATAGCCTAACCCAATTTCTAAATTGCCTAAATGTCAGTTACATCATTACAAAATCTTTATAGTAAAATCCTAATTCTGAACATGTTATTGCATTATAATGAGTCATATTTTCCCTTACGAAAATTAACCATTGTTAATTTTTGTAATGGTTGTGTTGTTGTCTGCCCTAGCTCCCTCTAAACCTATTATAAAATGATGTGATTATTTGTCTGCTAAATTACTACTGCAACCTTACAATAGATAATAATGATGTCCTTTAGCATACAGTGTTTTGAGTGATGAGTAATGGGCTGCTACTGTTAACAGGTGCTAGCAGTTTAATACTTAACTAAGTAAACAAAGACAAAACTACAATAGCCTATTTACAGATGAAACTGACCTGCACTTGAAGTCCTGAACAGGTCAGTAATTTTGCCTCTCTGCTCTACCTGGGCGCTTCCACTCCATTCTCGAGTCTCTCGCATTGATTACTCTGATCGAAACCGTTTGGCGGAGGTGTGAGCAGAATCTTAGCGTTGCCAGTCACGACTACTATTTCATGATTTATTGGAGATTTTTTATCCAATGTCAAATTTGGAAATAATCGCTTTAGTACATTTGGCAGGCAATTAAATATATTTAAAAAAAAAAACAGGGCAGAGGGGCTGGTGACCTGGCAACCGATTTGGCGTTTTTTTTTCTTTCTTTTTTTTTTAAACACACACACACACACACACACACACACACACACACACAATATAGAGAAAAGTCTGTCATTTACACTAACATTGACATGTCTAGGGTAATTTTTCCCAGAAAGATTACTACTTTTATTAATACCTTCATTCAGCAAGAGTGCATTAAAAGTGACAGCAAATACATTTATAATGTTACAAATAATTTATTTTAAATAAAAACTTTCTGTTCATCAAAGAATCCTGAAAAAACATATAGTTTCCACAAAAATATTAAGCAGCACAACTGTTTTCAACATTGATAATAAGAAGAAATGTTTTTTGAGTACCAAATCAGCATATTAGAATGATTTCTGAAGGATCATGTCACACTGAAAATTCAGCGTTTCAATCAGTAAATTCTATTTTAAAATATATTAAACCGAAAAGTTTTTTCTTCAATTGTAATTAAAAAAATGAAGCCTTGGTGAGACTTCTTTCGAAAGCATAAAAAATCATACCGACCCCAAATTCTTGAATGGAGCTATAATCACCCTCATGTTATTCCAAACCCTTAAATAAAACAATTTTTTTTAAGATTGTGAACATTTCTACTCTATTGTCATCTTCGCAGACTTTCACCACACATTTTTCCATATCAGACACATGAACGTACACACCGTGCAAGTAACTCACCTTTTCTCTCCCTCTTTCTGCTCTCAACACTTTAACATTCCACACACATCTTTCTCTCAAGCTTCCCTCTGTTTCAGGCTTCTACTCTCATTAGTTTCAGATATTAAAGCTCTCCTCTCAATTAGCAAATAAAGCTTTCTAAATGAAAAAGAGGAAAATAGAGGAGGGAGAGGTGATGAAATGCATTCATAAACAACAGGGTACACAGAAAAGACCTCGAGCACTGGACATTATGAAGATGGGCTTTTTTGTATCATTAAAAGCTGGTTTCCAGCGAACATTTCAGAAGGACAATGCACTGTATGCTGTGACACTTGGGAAGCTGCTGTTTAATGAATGGCTGGAGAATAGTATATACTATTTTATAACTTATACAGGATATCTGCCTCATGAAATAATGTACAGGTGCATCTCAATAAATTAGAATGTCGTGGAAAAGTTCATTTATTTCAGTAATTCAACTCAAATTGTGAAACTCGTGTATTAAATCAATAACCTGGGCTTCCATACCACCTCAGCAGTGCCACAAACTGATCACCTCCATGCCACGCTGAATTGAGGCAGTAATTAAAGCAAAATGAGCCCCTACCAAGTATTGAGTACATGTACAGTAAATGAACATACTTTCCAGAAGGCCAACTATTCACTAAAAATGTTTTTTTTATTGGTTTTATTTTATTGGTTTTTGTTAAATGTGAGCCAAAATCATCACAATTAAAAGAACCAAAGATTTAAACTATCAGTCTGTGTGCATTGAATTTATTTAATACACGAGTTTCACAATTTGAGTTGAATTACTGAAATAAATGAACTTTTCCACGACATTCTAATTTATTGAGATGCACCTGTATATGAAGAAATGTCTGTAATATGTATATAACTTTATATGTCAAATATAGTTATTATGCATAGCTCTTGTTATTTAGACTGACAAAGATTAGTCAAGTTTGTCAATTAAATTAATTTTTTTATAAGAATTTGTATTATTCATAATAGGACATGCTATTTAATCAGTTGTGAAATACAAAACAGTGCTGCGTAAAATTGGAAGAAGGGATAAATTCACCATGCAATAAATTATTATAATTTTTTTCATTTCAAGGCAAATTTCAAAGACCAAGTTCACGTTCCAAAACACTTTTTTTTCCAGAAGCGATCCAGCGGATCTGTAAACAAATTGTGTTCTGTTTGATTGAGCATTTGGAGTGCTGTTCATATCGTTAATTATCAAAAACCAAAAGACAAAGCCAATTGTGTCATGGCCAAAAATCTAGATATTAATTATTTATTCTAACTTCACAGTTGTTCTCAATCTCTGTTCAAACTGAAAAGGGCAACTTGCATTAGTTTCCTGATTAGTTGTTATTGATGTAGAAAATGAAGACAGAGAGATATCACTTAATTATTTTATGCATTTTCAACAAGTTTGTTAAAATGGGCTGAAGTTTAAAGTTCTCCGGAGAGTACAAAAGCACATTCCCTTTTAAATATTTCCTTGGCATTTCAATAAGAATACCAGTATTGTTCAGCACTGTCTTTGTATCTCATGAGACAATGTCTGCTACAGTCAGTGTACCTTTCAAGCAGATGTCCTCTACATTTCTCTCCCTTGTACCTGGCAGAGTGTTCATCCCAAACTACATCTCTCGGGTGAAGGTACAGCTTGTGGACTGCAATACAAAGAACAAAAGTGGGGAGAGCTGTCCGGTTTTGTTGAAAATCCGCTCGAGGGCCCCGCCGGTGCATAACTCTAGCGCCGTGGACTGCAGAGAGAATGTTCCCTGTGAGCTGGAGGTCCCACTGCCATCCTGGGAGCAGTGGTACTATATTTTGGTGGAGCGTTACCTCAGTAGCTCAGATGTGTACTTTCGCATTGGCGTTCAGGTTAAAGGTAAGAGCTTGTTTTAACTTTGAGTTTGTATTGGATTAATCATAGTTTCATAATCAACCTGATCATTCCATCCTCCACAACAATCACTCTGTATTCTCTATTTCTTTCTGAATCTTTTGTCATCATGTAGGGCTTTGCAAAGCCTTTAGCTCTGTATGAACATACAATGGCCCCAAAAGTATTTAGACACTTGTGAATCCCCCCCAAAAAAGCCTGAATTTCATTGCATAGATAACATAACAACAAACAATTCTGCAAATAACTTGAGTTTTTTTTTATTTTTATAAACTTCACTTTTCTTTTTCTTTTTTCAAAGTGATTTTAGTGAATGTATGAAGTTCTCCTCTAGTTCACACAGGTACAGTATCCTAGCAGATTAACCACATCATAATTAATGTGTCCCTGAAAATCTGACGACCAGAAAGTGTCCAAATACAGTTTGTCTTAGTTTTTAAAAGCATATCTATTGTTTTATACTTTGATCCAAAATCTAATATTTATTGTTATTTTATTTTGATAATATTTATTAATGTTTTGCTTAAAAAGTTCAAACATATTATTACATTATATTATATTTCCTTAAAATATATTATTGTCCAAATATTTTGGGTCAGTATTTTTTTAGCAAGTTAATACTGTTAATCAGCAATGATGCAAAACTGTTTTCAACATAAGAAATGTTTCTTGAGCACCATATCAGCATATTAGATTAATTTGTGAAATATCATGTGACTGAACATTCAGTTTTGCCATAACAAGAATAAATTGTGATAATTTGCAATTGCAATATTACTATATTTACTATATTTTTGATTAAATAAATGTAGCCTTGAAAATAAGATAATTCTTTAAAAAAAATACAGTAAATAATAAAAAATCTCACTGGCCTCAAACTTTGTTACAGTAGTGTACAGTAAATGTCACTTGGTTTGGTATGATATAATGAGTGACATTTATTCATTAAAACTTACAAGTACATTTCTTTGGGTCAACTGTGAGTGTAATTTTTTACCATCATCTGTTAATCTGCAACAGGTAGAATTTAAGGCAGGAATCCATATTGCAATGCCGTAAAGTCAAAGTTTTGGGGTCTTACATGTCATTTACCATGAGCTTTCAGCCAGTAATATAAAATCACTCTATAAATAGGTCCACCTGGTACCATATTTTCCAGCCAGTGTTTGGGGGAACGTTACTGGATGCCAGTACATTCTCTGATTCATTGATGGCCTGTAGTGCTTTAGGTTGCAACAATCCCAGCAGACTCCGGTGGAAATATTTTAGTCTGGCACAAATGAGAGGGCAACAGCTTGCAGATTTGATCTGGGCTTCATTAATTCTTTATTGGGATTTATCAGTACAAATGTTACAGGCATATGGCTTCTAGTCATTGTTTGATTTCAGCATCGCGATGAATTGCATTTGAGCATATTAAAGCTACCTGGCTGGAACACATTTCGACTTCACTGCTAGAAGGGTTTTCACAAAGGCAGGTGTTCTCATGGCCCAGGTGGAGTTGGGAAATTAAAGTGTGTTTAGAGAGAGACAGGCTTTGTTATGAATCTCTGTGACAAATTGGAACCTCAGTGGGCTCAGATGAGGACCCTGTCATGGATTGGAGCCTCCACCTTTTATTCTGCCTGATGTTACAATGAACTGTTGATGAATTCAGTACTTTTCTGTGTCTTGAATCGTCGTGATGAATATGGCAATTGGGCTGCTCGCAAAGTGTGAAATAGACGGGGCACTCAATTCAGTCCCATGGACCGTATTACTGCAGAATCGGGAAGTTGCACGCTCACTTTAAAACACTCGCTTTGAGTTAGATTAGCTCTTTCTGCTTAAATCTGTACGTTGTTTCGAATTACACAGCTGTTGTTTATAGTGTGTCAATATGAACTGATTTTGTCAGAATGTCTGATTGGATCTCAGTTTTAGAGCATTAATATATTATGTTAACTATCATTCACAACTTAAATGACCTTCCTATGAAAACACCTCTAGTTTACAAGGTCAGAATTGAATTTCCCTCCTCACAAGAGAAACGCTGTTAGCAAAAATTCCCCTCTCTGCTTCTTTCAAATCTACCACGTTCTCTCATTTTGTGTGAGGTTTCTCTGTTCGTCTGTTCCCCCATTTTTCCTCCACGTCCTGCGGTGCAGCAGAATCCCTGCCTTTGTTACAGCCTTGATGCCAAGGGATGTTGGCGCTGATGGCTCGGTAAGAGGGGATGAAGAGGAGGGCCATTGATGTTCAATGAGGCTGAACAGTCTCAGACCAGCTTAGATAAAGCACTCACAGGGGGAACAATTGGCCATGATGAGACGGTGTACCTGCGGAGAGCATTATCTGTGCGCGTAAGGAGCAGAAAAAGGAAAAACCTGTCTAGCAAGGAGTTATTGCAGTGCTGTTCTGTCACATTCAAGGCTGAGAGTCAATTTTGTCACTTCAGACTATTCATAAAGAAGGAACAAAATCCTTTTTGCTCAATGAATTTGGGCCATCAAAAGATTAAAAGATTACAATATCCTTTTTTTTTTTTTTTTTTTCAGATTTGCAAGTAATCTCATGTTTTCTCATTCCTTTTTAATTGCATTCAGTCCTTTTTTCATGAAATATCAACATAATAAGTACCAAAGATTTGTACTACTAGCCTACAGCAGTCCATTGGTAGTATTTGTATTAACAGTGTTTTTGCTCCTGAGTGATTTTTCATATTTGTTCTTAATATTTGTTATTAAAATTCTTCCATGCAAAGACTGCAGATGACACTTTCTTATATTTTTTTGTTTAGTTTTGTTTTTAAAACATGATCCAAATGGACACATCAATGTCATTGCACACTAATTTCACATGAAGTTAATGCAGATTTATAGCAATGGAAGAATATAGATGTAATGATGGATGATTAAGATTAAGTGTCCCACTATACCTGTGTTCACCCATCATTACTACCGCTTATATAACATAGCTAATCCAGTGACCCAAGAGCACTGTAATCAAGGTAACTATTAGACATCATCTAACACTGTCATCCGTTTCTCCTCTATGCCATTTTTTCACCAGTTGTGATGGTCCATACGCTGTATCACATGACCTTGTAGTATCACCTGTGTCTGAAGGTTTTGGTCAGCGCTTCTGTCAGCCTTAATTCAATTATTCTGAACCCAGCTCCCCTTTCCTTGATCAATTGCTCTGAACAGCAGATACTGGCTGGCTGCCATCTCTCTCCCATCTCTCAAGTCAGTATGACTCTTCATGTCCTTCCTTTGCTTTGTCTCTGCACCATTCAGTCCTCTTGATATTCTTAATGGAGAGAACAGATCGTTTACAAGTTCAACAAGAAGCATATGGAAGTTGCTGTGTGTGTGGAATCCTTTTCCTCTTAGCTGTTTTCAAGACAAACCTAAGTTTATTAATGATAAGACAGTAGAAAAACTAAACAGATTTTATATGATCCTCTGATGAACTGAACTACTATTATAGTGAAACCTAAAATATTTTGAAATTACCAGTATATGTCTTGAAAACGATTACAAATTTTCACACTTTATTATAGTCATGGGAAATCGGGCAATGTATTTGTTTCAGTAGACACTGAATATTATTCTCATTATGGCTTTGATGTATTGTTGTGGTCAGGTTTTCTCTCTGTGAGATGCAGTAAAACTTTCATCATCTGAGTGAATCATGTCCAGAACGAAACAAACACAACTAGACCAAACAGAAACAGGCAGTGGTTAGACAGTGAATCTGTTTTGGTATTTTGTAGAAATGTTGTTGTGGTCTATATATCTATTTTAAAAAGACATGGATGTTCAGTTGATCTTTTAGATCAGGGCTGTAAACACATAACAAGTAGAGGAGTCAAACTTTGACTGAAGGATGATTTGAGGAGGAAAAAATCAATTATGCTGAAAACATTCCCATTTACTTATTTCCATAATAAATATTCTTTCATACTCTGGTAAATTAGATGTAGTAATTTCCATGTGCTCCCTTTGGTTTTACGCCAAGTTCTGTGGCTGTTTGTATAAAGTCTTACAGGGTAGTTATCTACATTTTTTCTTTTAGACTGGTCATGACTATTTTAAGTTACATTAAAACATATTGGTTTTAATTTGAATCTAAAAAGTAAGACTGATTACTCATCAGCTAAATGCTAGCTGGTTAGACTTGTTTTTTTAAAGACACAGTCTTAATATAGTGGCTATGTTTATTCAGCTGGCCTTGGACTTTATTCCAGAAGTATATTGTGCATATTCTCTTTAATTTCTACACCAAGATTTTTCAATTATAAAAACTGACATAAGGTGACATTTAGTCCACTCTGGCCAGTGTAAACCAATAAATTGTCATTTTACAAAAATGTCCAATCTTAAATGAGTTTGACACCCCTGTCTTAAATAATATTCATTGATTTTTCTGTCCTTATACAGTAGACTAACTCGATCTAATCTCCAAGCATGATTTTTACATAGTTGTACATAGCAGTAGTAGTAGTAATAGCAGTACATAGTAGCTCATGGTGCTGCAGTTTGATGCAGTTCTCCAAATTTTACTTCCCTTGTTGCTGTTGGTAACACCAAATGGCCATATTGAAAGTGTCATTAATCGTTCTAATCACTCATGAACTCCAGGCTTCAGGGAGTCCTCTTTGAAAGACATCCACAGAGCCAATTTGAAATGGATCCCAGTCATGGGTTTCAAAAGCAGTTTCAAAACAAACTGCACTTCATCACACAGCTATAACTGAATAATAGCCTCAACAGAAAGTGTTTAGGGCTTTAGCTCAAGCCACACTTGCTATTGCTGCAGACCACCATTGTTGGAGATTAACTGGGAGAGCCGCAATGCAAATAGGAGATTTTAAATTTTGCTTGATTTTTCTGGTGCTCATTGGACTCCATTTAGCCCTCAAGGAGACGATAAGGTTAAAACACAATAAAAGGAGGCTTAATTGAGACTGATGTGTTCTTATCACAATTAATGATGAGTTT